CAGTAGTCCTGGCAGTGCCTGAGGAGGTGTGCACATGACCAAGGAACATGTCTGAGGGAGAGCAGTAGGGCACTGGGGGATATACTTTTCATAGATGAAAGCATAAATTAGAAGAGGACTTAGGTGCAGGACCTACCCATGAGAACAACTTATTTCAAATATCTGGACAAAACTTTCTTAACAAGAGTCCAGAAGATCTGAGGGAGAAAAGAAAAATGTCCTAAAAAGGAACTGGTAGAGAGATTCTGTCCAGGCTTACAGAGCACAGAAAACTAGTTAAACAGGAAGACAGCCTTTAAGCCACAAAGGTTGAGCTTGGGAAAATTATACCTTCCCTCCCTGTATATTTGTTTACTGTTCTTTTTAGGAAGTATCAACCACTGAAAAAGTACATACACAAAGATTTTGCAGCAGATCAAGATACAGATGATACAACAACTCCATTTTAGTACCTTGATAAAATCTAAAACTTGATCACATTATTTTTTTGGGTTTAGAAAAAGTTACAGCTTCCAACTAAAAAACAAACAAACAAAAACAAGGCAAAAAAACTCACACAAGAAAACTAAACTAAAAAATTTACAACAAAGTAAAAAGCAGTGTAATTATGTAGACTCCAGTATGCATCCATATAGTCAAAAACCTGCAGACTCCAATATGCATTCATATATTTAGAAAGATTCTTCTCTCAAATACATTGCACACATGTGCATATAAACAAAGAAACCAGCTGTATTTTCTTCTCTACTTACTTTCAATTAAGATATCAAAAGAGACAACACTGTATACATTTTCTTCAGGTACACACTTGCAGAAAACCAACAGAATGCTAGCAAATTATATGAAAGCTCACATTGCACATGCAAGATCAGTTCCATCAAGAACTTCAAGGAAAAAAACAAACCTCTCTCAACAAAACTCCAAAACAAAACCTGATGATAACAGGCAATGATAACATTGCTAAATCATAGCTGCTGCTTACTGCATTACTGAGAAACATATCTGCAACCTTGGACTTTCTCTCTGACAGATTTCAAACTTCTGCCATCTACTAACTACTAACATGTTTGAACTGTTAGAATTTTTTTTTATTTTTTTATTTTTTAATAACAGTAAAAGTATTTTTCACCTCTTATTTCCAAAGACAGCTGGAGCAGTTTGGCATAAATGTTCAAAAAACATCTCAAGTAGTAAAGGAATGCCAAATTCCAGCAAGAAAGGTAAAACGACTGGGAAGAAGAAAAAGCCACTGAAAATCTTTTCTTAAAATGGAAACACTTGTGGAATTTCAGCTCCCCATTACAAGCATTAGTATGTCCTCCAAAAGTGAAAAACACAAAAGCTCTCTTTCAAGTGGACAGTTGTGCTATGGTCTGAAGGCCTCTCAATTTCAGTCTTAGGAAAAATCAAAGAAGTTTATCTTAATGAAGACAGAGTTCAAAAGCATCAGGTTCTGTTTTGGTGTAAAGACCTTCCCATAACTTGTAATTTTTAACACAAGCATTTTAAAAATAAAAACAAACAACTTGTATTTTGCACAAGCTTTAAACTTTAATTCGTCTCAGTTTTTCTTTAGTCTATTTTATGTGGGAATTTATGCAAGATGTGCCACAGGGTCAGGATTAAGGAATAATTAAAAAAAAATCGACTGCACAAAAAAAAAACCCAATTCAACCCCCTTTCAACTTACAAAAGCGTGCTTCATAGGGACCATAAAATCCCTGTAATTACCTGCTGCAGGATCTGTAACTGCTTGACTGGTGATGCCAGATGGTGGTTCTTGAAGCTGGTATGTTGCATTTGTGGAGGGTGTCGTTGGGCTGGTGTTGCTGTTTGTCATGTAATGTGATGGATATGGTGAGCTATTATAATACTGTGCGTATTGGCCCTGGCCAAAACTGGGATAAGAGGGATATTCCTGCAAGACAAAAAAGCAACTGAATAGTCCATCAAAGTTTTGCTACTTTTTAGTATAAATTCCAAAATATAACTACAAACACATGTCAGACTTTCAGCACGTATGCTTCCTGGACTAGATGCTGTGGGACCTAAAGCTGTGAGGCAGTAAAACAAAATCTAAATTACACATAATTTAGTATGTCTTCTCATACAAATAGTTTATGAGGCACAGTACTGAAGACATGTGAATACGAACATCAAACCCAGACAATTAGTTCTACTATTGGAAGAGGATAAATTGGAGACAAACATTTATAAACATTAGTTTCACATGAAATGAGGCTAATTTCATTCAAAAAGCTACTTAAGGGTTACATTTTTTCAGTGGACGATAATTCTAAGTTTGCCAGTTTCCTTGACTCATGTTTACAAATTTACCTGCTGTGAACTATTAAATCCAGTAGAATTTGTGAGAGAATTATTTCCTGCATATATTCCTGATGATGTTGTAAAACTGCTGCCTGAAATGAAAAGAAAAATTATGTGAATTACTAAAACACAGTGTCTGAAAATAACTTCCATCACACTATTATATCATACGGATATGGTATATTCATAATATTTCCCACATGTTGATCGATTTGGTTGTCATCAGCTCTGTAACATGTTAATATAAGGAAAGTGATAATTCATCATTCCCACACCCTGTGTTTCATTGTTGTAATAAAAAGAAGAACTTGAAATTTAGAAAGGAATTTGGAGCCGCCTCGAGTCTGATGTTAGGTTATCCCACCCCTCTGAATAATCCCCAGTGTTGTGGAAGTAATGAGCGCTTCACCTTCAGGTTTTGTTGAACAATAACTACGAGCCTGGTCCCAAGAGAGGCCATCTCCCCTCAGTGAAGCCCATAGGTTCTGTTTCTCCTACCACCTTCAAGATCTGGGTCCTTTTCTCTCTCTGAACCTCAGTGCCCAGAGACAGCAAAAGCTGTAACTCCCTACTCCTACCAGCTCAGCCCAACTGCAAAGCCATTAGGATTTGCTAATCAATCATACACAGCCTTGGGCCACAAACTTTTTTTTTTTTTTTTTTTTTTTTTTTTTTTCCTAGAGTCTACCAGGCATGACAAAAAAAAAAAAAAAAAAAAAAAAAAAAGAAAGAAAGTACCTCTCTGAGAAGAGAAACTCAGGATTGAATTCAGCCTGGAGACTGAATTACTGCCTTTACCTCCCTCCTCCCCTCATGAGCCACCACAATTTGACAGATGGGGCTCTTGTTTAAAACCTAACCTGAGAAGCTGTTCCACTAAAAGGGCAGCAACCCCCTTTCAGCTGTTTTGCCCTCGCTGGTTATAACCTGGGAGCGACACAGCCACCAGCTGAGACATATGGATGCACAGGGTGAAGCTACATAAGCCACCAGAAAGTCTGTAATGACTCAACCTATTGAACTCATCCAGCAGGAGATCACCAGCCAGCAAGGAGCTTGCACAAAAGTGCATGGGTTGTTTACAGCCTCCCTTGCCACTGAAACCTGCTTTAGTGCAAAGATATATCAACACCTTGGGAGCAAAAGCTTGCAGGTGAGCAAAGGAGGCAAGGAGGGGTGGAAATCAATAGGGAGCCAGGCGTACAGATGCACTGATCCTCTGATCTACCTGACACAACTCAATTAACCAAATCCTACAGAGTGGTTACTCACAGGGGAAAGTGACATTTCTTGCAACTCCTAAACAGCAAGGAATGCAGGCAGGGCATGCCTAGTGCAAGCCTAAAGGGTTATTTGTGAGCTATTTACTTTCTTAAGCAAAAAAACCCAACCAGTAAATATTCTAGATAAAAAGTCAGGCACAAAATGTTTAAATGCTTTGATTGCAAAAGTTAGTTAAAAGACTTCACAAGTTAAGCCTCAAAATAGATGTGAAGTATGTCCAACAGCAGTGGGAGTAAAAGATGAAGCCTAAAGTGTGATAATGACTATAAAGACTTCTCTTGTATTTGCTATTAGTGCAAAAAAACCTATGATTGTTGATAGATGCTACTAATCCTGTGAACTAAAATCAGATTGCTCGAGCAGAAGAGTTGACATCCAAGTTTAGCAGATAGTGCAGATAAACAGTACTAATGAGAAAAACATGTTCTTTTAAATTTAATTTAAAATTGGAAAACAGATGTGATTTTTATTATAACAAACCCCAGAGCCAAAATACAGCTGAAAAATATTTTAAATTGCAAAACTTTGAAATGCTATTTTATTTCTAAGAGTGCTTCGGCAGGAAGAATGTAAGCCACTGTGTCTCTTTTTATTTCTGTAGTTACTACTGAGTGATGCAGTAATACATTCAAACACAAGTTTTATAGGTGCATGTTTTGAACCATTCTGAAAAGATATAAAAGGCCTCTCATAGTTATAGAAAAACAAAACAAAATTTTTTTTTGAGGAATATATTATCTTTCCACAGAAAGTTTGGCAAATAATTTGCAAGAGCAAATGAGAAAAGTAATTACATGCCAGCCAGTATCTCTCCCTTTCAGACAAAGGCACACACATACTAACACACAAATCTCTCTCTTTCATCTCATGGTCAGCACTGGCTCCTATGGAGGAGGGGTAGGGGTCTCCTAGACCGTAACAAACATGAAGCAGGTTTCTCAGAAACAGCTCTGTGGGCCACCCAGAATTACTGGTCGAAAGTTTTTTTGTAAATACTCCAATTCTGCCATTTGTTTTTTAAATATTTGGCAGTGGCATGGCATAGAGCTGCTGTTCCTGCCTTAGTTGAATAAACACAAAAATAAGAATCTCTAAGAAATTAATGAGCTTTACTGCCCCAAGTTGACCAGCTACGTATCTTTAAAATGTTATAAAAGCTGTAAATTGCAGGTCAAAGGTCTATTTTGCAAAGGGCATGGACCCACACTAAAGCTGGGAAGCCCAGTCAGTGTCGGAAGACCGCCAGACCCTGCTGGGACCAGGGCGCGGGCTCCAGGAGTGGGGCTGGCCCTCAGGCTGCCACAAGGAGCAAGATGTGGTCCTCCCCTGTGCATCTGCCACAGAAGTCCATTTGCTTTCCTAGCTCAATCTCCTTGCCATGGGCTATGTCTATCATCAGGGTACTATGTATGTGGCAGAAGTTTCGTGCAGCTCTCCTGGGAAAGCCTAAGACGGCCAGATGGGCTATTTAAACTCAAGGTTTCTTCCGTTTGCTTACAGTGTTCAAAAATCCTTGGCAAACTCCCTCTTGTTGTCCTAGTAACTGCTTAGCCATCCAGCACAATATTTTCATACTGTATAATAATAACGGAATACCTTAACGTTTACTTTTTTATGGCTGAATTCCCAAACCGATTTGGTTAGTATATTCTCAAACTTCACAGTCTTGGTAACTAAAACAATGCCAGTGCTCATCACAGGTCTAGTGCCCTTCCAGCAGTAGGATGCTTCAGTGCAGGGTAAAAGCCATGCTTTTATCACAACCAAAAGGACACTCAAGAAGACAGCTAGAAATTGAGCTCTTTCCTTGACATTTCCCCCAGCCCTTCTCCACTCCATTTATCCTCACTGAGCAATCCTTGTAACAGTGCCAATATAGGAACAACGGCCTTTTCCCACAGCCATTAGTCATGTAAGTGGTCTTTCAACATCTATGAAGCAACTTATATGAAATACAGCTTCAGGAACATACTTATTAAGGTGAGGGTTGGGGGGATGGGGAGACAGGGTGGCAGAACCACCTAGGTCCTCTTCTTACCCTCTCCCCTCCACAGTCCCACTACAGGGACAATAAATCTGCAACAAACAAAAATCCAGTTACCAGAAAAACCTTAGCAAGGAGTCACAGGCAGCAATTTTCCTCATAATTTTCAAAAGTTGGCAGTCTCTCCCTCTGCTATCGTTCGGTGACTAATCATGCTGTAATTTTAGCAGGTCCAGGAAAAGCCCTGGCTTTAATTGACTGCACACGCACCTTGAGGCAGCACCTTTACATTGCAGGGAAATGTTCGCCCCAGGGAGAGGAACCAGAATAACTCCAAAGCTTTCAAATGTGAGGTAACCCCAGTCAGGGAGCACAAACAAGGTAACTGCAAGACTGTAGGGAATCCCCTTCACTGCAAGCAAGAAGGCCAGCAGGGCCCCAAGCACACTGTCCTGTAAAGTTTGGTTGTGAAATAGGTTGTGGGATCCATTATCTCCATTTAGCAGCTCAGTAGCCACACACAGGAGATGAAGAACTGCTGTTGCAGGCTATGACAAGGCTGAGGCTGCCCCGTCCGTATAATGCTAGAGGGGAAAGGGAGAATAAACTCTTTTTCCCTCTCTGGAGGTTTCTGCACAAACAACTGAACACCAGCAGCACTACCCCCATCTTCTGTCAAGAGGATCAATTTTGTCCTTAAATAACAGCTGAAACTATGAATAGGTTCTCCTTCCAAAATTAAATGAGGAAAAGGAAATGAATGTTTCTGTTTACTTTTAACATCTGTTCAATCAAAAGGAAGAATTAAGTCAATTTAAAGTTGTTTCAAATTCAAAGCTTAGCCTAATGAAAACATTAAAACGACACTTACTTTCACACATAGTATAGATATATACTGTCAAAACTGAACTGCAAGAAAGACATGTTCAGCAATATGATTCTTTTCTACTTAGCTTCCAACAACTCCACCAGTATTTTAATTTGAAACATTCTCCTTCTTTCCATTCCTATGGTCTGTCAAGTTTCTGTAAGAGACTAGTCCTTCCTTCATCCACACACTGTGCTGCACAAAAGAAATTACATACACACATACTCACCCACTCTGACCTGTGGCTCTTCCACCCAAGCTAGACTGCCAGGGATCTGCTACCTTTCACAGGTAGGTAGCTCTCAAACCAAGGACAGCACAGCTGCAGCAGGACCCAAGTTCAGACTCCCTCCTCCCTCAGCTCGCAGACAACACTATCATGAAATCAGCGCCTCGGACCATGCTCTCATTAGAGCTTCACAACTGGGTCATCTTTAACAAATCTTTTACAGAACATTTTTAGATCCTTCCTGTTCAATGTGTACAGCTGAAAGAATTGCCAAGATCTTACTGTTCCATCTCTTGACAACCACCACCCTTTCATGACCTTGACAATTCTGATCTAGTACACAGTTTACGTATCACAGAAAACAAAGCAATACCCTATACAACAGACCTCTATGTAGTCCATTACTGAGCCCTAGCTTTGCTCTACTAATGCCAGAAGTCACTACTTACTCTCAAAATTTTGCAACAAGCACTTTCTCATATTCTCCCATGCTGCTCCCCCTTTCCTCCCCCTATCAAATGAGTTTCCCACAGACATCTGCAAAACTACTTTATTGTCCTCCCTAAAAAACTTTTTTATTGACATTGCTTTCCTCTGTATCTTCCCAAAACTCCCACCTTTAGAGCTGTTAGATAAACATGGGGTTATCTAACATGGGGTCACATATGGGGTGAGGACTGTTTATTATGTCTAAACTGTGTCAACTGTATTGTTATATTAGGCTCCAATAAGCCCGTGTTTTTTATTTTACCCTCCAACTTCTATGGGGACTATATTTTAATTTGACTGTATAAGTTAGCACAACAGGATCCCAGTACATGACTGTGGCATGAAGTCACTACTGCAATAGAAATTATAGGCAATACAGACATGATTTTTCAATAACTCTATTTCCTAGTAACTACGAAGTATCAGTTCCTTAAAAGCTAGAATGCTGATCCAGGAGTTCCTTGCAGCTGCTGCTGGCAAGGGTTTTGAGCTCTCTTCTACAGAGAGGTAGGGTTTCTTTGAGAGAAGGGTTATGTGTGTTTGGATTTTTTTAGTGTGACTCTCTGCAGAAAGCAAAACCAGAAACCTGTTTATCATTGTATTTACTCTGATGAGTAGAAGATCACCGCTAGCCATCGTGTAGAAGAAAATCTGCATACTACTCTTACACTGTCTTCCTCTTGTCAGAGCACACTACAAGTAAGCAATACTTGAGATGTCAATGGTTGCTTCTGCCCCATGGAGCTACTCAACACAATTCAGGAGAGGATGTAAAAAAAACAACCCAAAAACATTCAACTTGTCTCTGAGTGAAGGACTGGATCAATATACCCTCAAAGCTGTGGAACAAAAGCAAAACCTCAGTCATTTGGTCTCTGAAAGTACTTCTGCCTCAAGGCATTTCATGGAGCTTTTACATGATGGCACAGAGTTTAAATGGAGCATGATAATAAAAAAAAGAGGTGGTGAACTTTTAAGAAAGGTGGTCCAATTCTGTGAGTGATCACTTCTTTCAACAGTTCTAAAATATGAAACACACTTGATTTTGACTGTCAAATTCAGGGATTAAAAGTCCTGCAGCAGACATCCAAAATTAGCTATCTGCCGTAAACATAGATTTTAAAAAATATCCCTTAAAGATATTCAAACTTGGGAACAGACTTGGGAACACCCAGTGACTTCCCAATACAGAAGGGGAAAAAGGAATTGGGAGAACAAGGTGGAAAGGTATTAAGTAAACTAAACAGGCAAGTAAAGCTACAAAAAATAATTGATAATAATAGCCCACACATACAAAGACTTCCAGCTTTTAAATAGACTTCAAAGAAACAGACTTCAATCACTACTTAGCTACCTCCGCAGCTGCATTAGGTATTTTTATCTTCTCCCTCTCCAAACATACTCAGGTGTCAAATTATATTTGGCACTTCCTAAATTCATAATCCTGACAAGTTTTCCAGGAGTCCCTTTGTCACGTTCACTATTTGTTAAACTATTGCTATTTGGAGATACATTTTTACTGTAGTAACACTACAACACCTCACTATTTCAAAATTAATGAAGTCATTAAGTGAGGGATCTTCCAAACTGCTGAGAGCTGGCCTGTCACTGCTCTCAGCAAAGGCAACCATTATTTCAGCTCCAACTGCAATAACATCAGAGGTAAGTGCTCAAGCAAACATTCATTTTTATCCTAGGAATGTAAAGAAACAAGGGAGAAAAAAAACTCCACAGCATCAACTACATGTAGTTAATGGTAATTTCTGTTTATACAGACCTTGCATCTGGTAGCTATAGGGAGCCTGTCCAGGTTGAGGTGTGCTAAAGCTAGCACCGTAGCTTAGAAATCCTGTCTGTCCAGGTGACTGTGACTGTGCCAATCCACCTTCTGTCTTGATGCCTGCCCACAATGCACCTAAATCAGTTAGTGACAGCAAATCTATTTGTTCATATTCAAACAGGGATGGAAAATAAAATCACTTGATTATCAGCACTTTTAACATATACCTAGTATTCATGCATGAGAGAACAAATACTGAGAGCATGCACAAATGAATAGGATAAGGACAGTCTAAAAGCACACATAAAACTGAAGTTCATAAGGGATAGGTTAAATTCAAAACTGTGCTTCCAATAACTGCAAAAGAAATTTATACATGAATAGGAAGTTGCATTATTCCTTTTTTCCTTTCCTGCCAGAGGCTAACTTTTCCATATATTCATGACATTTCACAGAGGTAGATTAGCAATTTTATACGATTTTAATGAAGCATAGCGTAGCCAAACTCTCCTGCCATCCACCCAGTTATGACATAACTGAAATTTGCATTGTATAATATTTCCACATGAAAATTACATGGCTCTGAGTGCACTGGCTTTCTAAAGAATTAGAAGTGGATAAAGAGAACTAGGAGCATTAAGTGTAATGATGATTTTCAAAGCTAATTAAGCACTATAGGAGGCATTTAGTCTTTAAACAAATAAACACCTAACAGACTGGAACTGCTCCTGAAGGAATCTCTCAAACTGGGAAAAAAAATAGTGGAATAATTAATCTGCACTGACAGTGAAATCCATTACATATCACATTGCCCTCTAATTTCCAAATTTAGTAATAAAAGAAACCTAAGTCAAATTAAATAAATGAGTTGTCTCCTAATTTCAGTGATTCTTCTTCCAATTTGTAATATAACAAGCAAGCAAACATCAACAAGTGAAACACTGAGGAAATGCACACAATTCAGTCTCTGTCTCTTAGTTTTAATTACAAGGTTGTCCCAACATGAACTACCATTTAAAAATAATTATAGCCAAAGCAACGGAAAAGTAATGCAATACCCTTAGGTTTCATTGCAGAGTTTAGTGATACCTCATTGATCAGAAACCATCATTATTTGAACTGAATTAACTAAATGTGAATTAGTAATATTGCTTTGAAAATAATGGTTAATCTCAGTCCATTTTCTGGTTGGATTTTTTTTTTTTAAACAATATCATCAATGTTTGAAGTTAGGAGAGATCTGAGTAGTTACTGTGTTTGCAGAACATCAGTATCTCCCTATATACAAATGGCAGCATATTTTCTTCTGCCATTTAAATAATTATTTTTCAACTGCTGTCATTAATTACCCTTAATTCCTTCTGCCAAACCTCATAATTGCCAGACTAACTCTGTTTGCTTGTTTTTCCCTGATGCTTACTTGCTGCTTCTGTTTCATGTTACAACTGAACAATCCCGATGATAAATCCGACACCTCATTTCCAAGGGGAAACTCCTGCTATGGATGTTTTGGTATCAATGACCCCTATTTGTTGTCTGTTTAAAGACTTCTGAAATGCTGATTAAATGTTGCTTAGAGAAAGTTTAACTCAATCAAACGTTACATTTCTAGATCAGCTTTAATGGCCTGATTCAACTCTCCATTTCAGATGAAGCAGGAGGAGATGATTAAAGGCAGCAGCAGGAGGATGCCACTTAAGTGAAGACAGCTTGGCACTGACGTGCCCTTTTGCAAACCTCCACACTATGAAGAACCTTTCATCTCCTGGGACCTACTCTTTCCACCTGCTCTCATCCAGAAGGCCTTCACTCATCAAACCTTGATGCTCCCTTCTCCTTCTCCCAAGTCTAATGTATGCAAGGAAGTGGGAAGGGATAGTGAGAAAATATAAGGGGACTTCCAGTATCTGGAAAGAAAAGAAGTTGGAAAGCAAAGCATTTGCTAGATGCTGGTACCAGAGCAGGCAGGAGGAGGGAGCTTCAGGAAATTCTCCAGCCTCCTCAGGGGCTCTTCAGATGTAGCATAGCCAGGAGCCCCAGGGAGGCAGCTGTCAGTGGCATTCCCCTCCACCCCCCTTCCTGCCTGCATGGCTGCAGCATGGTGGAGGTGGGGGAGTGGAAAAACTAATAGGCTAGAGGTGCGTTTGAGACAGCACCTTCTCTGCCCTAGAGAGAAAATCTGAGGAACTTTGATATGTGAATCTACAAATACTTTGCTTTCAGTAAGCCCCAGAGTAAAGAAACAAAAAGAAACAAAGCACTCCCTCCTCACACCCCCCCCCCAGTTTTTCATTTCACATAAGTCTCCTCTCTTTATACCTACTAGAAGCTCTGCCTGGATGAGAGAAAGACAAGGCAGATTGTGGGATCTAAGCTGCAGACCCAAGAGGAGAATTTTGGCTCTAAACAAGGCTTTGGGTTTTGCCTATTGCAAATGAGCATGCCAGTTTTCCTTATGTAATTTATTTTGTGAACATGGATTACATGATGTGCCTTAAATATGCAAAAATACATATGGTGTTAGGTCCCAAACCTTTGTAATATTATTTGCTTTTACATATTACTTCTATAAAGTACATCACCAAGGAGCACGTTAGCTCCAGTCACGAGGCACTGTCTGAAAAAACATGTTAAAAACCACTTGGCTAAAAAGCCAGTGGGTTCAGTGGTCAGAAGCAGCTCTATAATGTAAAATGCTAGGCAAAATAATCTGAAGTCCTAGGCACAAAGAATGGTCTGGGCAAAAAAAACCCAAACCAAACCAAAACAAAGGAGCAGGCAGGCATGTTAACCCCTGGTGAGCAGTTGCCAAGTAAAGCAACTCTCAATTACAGCTCCGACAACAGCGAGACAACTAAACTCAAGTAGTGAAATCAAGGTCTTGCTGAAGTCAGTGGGAGTTTTATAGTTGACTTTGGTGAGGTCAGGATTCTATCCAGAGGAACTAAGTGAAAAACAAAAAAGCCAGTGTTTGGGCTGCCTAAGACACTGCAGCCAGCCAAGTATGAACATGAGGTGTCCGCAGGAGAAACGGGTCAAGAAGAGCGCGGTGGGGAAAGGGGTCATCTGTTATCACACCACCTGAGTCAGATGGAAATAGCAGACAAGCTCTCATCAGCAACATGAGCTTGGGGGTGGGGGGGGGAAGAATCATCCCCACCTCTCTAGTCTTGAACAACTACTTTAAATATCCTTAAAATATTTTGTTTGTGCAAGTTTAAAACACGTGGAATGGAAATGAAACTGAAACATCCTACTCATGTTTATAACCATAGTTTTGGCAGTAAGTAATCAAGTCTGTTGCCACAAGAAGCTTCCTTGGATGATAATTATGATATATTAAAGAAACACATTTCTTAAATTAAGAGGAATTAATAATCTGTTTCTTATACCTAGTATTATTCACAATAATCTGCTGTAAAATATACTTGAGACCGAGTGGATCCCAACTTGAAGATTTCAGGATGAAAGATTCACCAGTTTTGCACTAATGATTTTAAGGGGCACAGCTTGTACAGTGAGTTCTGTCCTTTTGCTATACAATTTACATTACCTGAATGTATCTTTACACAATATACTGATAAAAGCATGTGGATTGTATGTTTTTAATGTATTCCCCCAGAGGAGTATAAGACCTATTTTCTAATAACGCATCCGCACTGCAGAACTGCTATGCAGTCTGCCAGCAGACAGTCTGGCAGCAAAATGGTCTCACCCACAGAAGCTTGTTTTTAAATTAAATTTTTTTTTGAAATATGTGCTACTTAGTACTATCTCCTTCATCAGGCAGACAGAGCTTTAGTGGCAATTTACCTCAATTTTCACCTCCTGGGAATGTGAACACATTGAAAGTGGGATTTTTTTGGTGGGTCTTTTTGAATCAGTTTTTCACCTGCTGAAAATCAGTGCAGCTTCACTGACTCACTTGGGTTACAGTAATCCAGATCAGCTGAAATTCAGACCTTTATTTACGGACTTACCCTACTGCCTTGCCGAAGAGCCGAGCTCCTCGGCAAGTCACCAGGAGCTGTGTCTGTGTAATGGAGAATCCTAGATCTCTTTTTCCATTTCAGTGCTGTTTTTTTTTATATCACCAATAAAAACCTAATGAATCTCTCTCCTTAATCCTAAAACAGAGTCACTCTCTTAAGTAGCTTCTTAACTCTTTAATACATAACTTTGCATCACTCAATCCAATGGGGCAATTACCAGTCTTCCACAAGAAATTCTCAAGAGCACAGCTGTCCCACTAAGCACTGACACAAGTGTCATGTAATCTTGTTCTAAAAAAGTATTTACCTCTAGAACAAAGTAACACGGACATGATTTCTTACCATATGAAGGGATTCCATAGGGTTGACCGGGCTGGGGGTAGGTGGCATAAGCTGTAGTTTGTTGCATCCCAGTTGTAAACTGTGTCTGCCCATATGCAGCCATCGTTTGTGAAGAGGGTGTAGGAAGAATATGTGGGTATGGTCTGCTATTGATTACAAATGACAGAAAATAGGACAGACGCTGCATTAGACAGAGGTGTGTACTTATTTTTAGCCTTATTTTAATCCTGCTACTTCATTAACACATAATCATAGGCTGTGCTAGACAATAGAAACTGTAAGACAAAGGCAAAATGACAATAGGAAATCAATAGTAAAAGAAAAAGTAAAATAAGGATTTCCCAAATATTTTTCAAATACATTCTTAGCATTTCTTTTTTCCCCCTAGAAGCTGCTGTGGTTTAAACTATGACTTAACAGATGGACCCAATTATTATTTTAAATGAGGTTAAAATATGCCTATTTCAGTTATTATTACTACTACTACTATTATTATTTTTAAAAGATATCATACTTGGAAGGGTAAATCTGTGGTGGGGAGAACTGGTGTGTTTGTCTTGGGCTGAAACCACTGCTTCCAATTGCTGCACCAAGGAGAAAAGAAAGCACACAGAAGTGTAAATACACACACCAAAGATAAATATTATTTTTCCTAATAGAATTTCAGAGTATTAACAAGGTTTTAATTAAATTCAAATATCATTGATACCTTAGATAGAAAATAATATTTTATCAGGAACTATACAAGAACGCTTAACATAAAAATCTTGATTACAAATTTCAAATACTAAATTGCCCCTTTGTACAACTCTTGAGCAATAGTTAATTCTTTGCTCGCACACGGACAACATTTTCAATGCAAACAATCTATTTCCTAATGGAAACATTTCCCTTCATATTTTCAAAGGATTACTGATATCTCAAGTGCAACATTTTATTAACTTTTAGAATTTTTAAGACCTACATTTTATGAAGGAGCTTTATGCATGCCTCGATTGAAAACATATGGCCAGCTTCAGAGCACGTGCCTCTTTTTAAAAAAATAATTTCATAAAACAGATGATGTATTGCCATCTTACACTTCCAGCTCCCTCCCCCCCCCCTCCACCTTTTCTTCTTTCTAAAATGTTTTCAGACCTTCAAAACAGCCAGCATGGCATAAAGATGTCTACACCAATGTGCAAATGTTCTTAGTGAAACACCTCAGGCTTGGAGGCTGAACAGGGAGCGTCTCCCCAGCTGCCCTGCCACTGCTGACACACAACTTAATGCCAACCCACCCAATTTCGTTTGGTATTTTTGGGTGCTGCTGAGAGCGCCGCGGATGTGCCGGTGTGCTCTGCCCTAGGCATTACTTTTGGGAGCCCTTCCCTCTCTGGTTACCATTTGGGTGCCATTTCTTCCCTAGGCCCCCAGGCCGGTTTTGAAGCCTTTGCCAGAAAGGGGTCAGCAGCAGGTTATGAGACTACTGTAAAATCAGACAGCCGGAGAAACAACAGGCCCTATTGCTAAGTACTTGGAAATAAACAAGGCACGGATAATTACCCTTCGCCAGCTACCCCTTTCCTGGCCAACTACAGGGAAAATCCATCATCTTTACACTCCAAGAGCTCTTGTGGAGCATGGAAGGAAGCAGGGAATCTCTTTCCGTGCCTTCCTCACCTGATAGTTTTTCTTTCTGTGGCCTGTTTGGCTGCAGATATGCCAAATGTTACAGTCTGACCTTTAGTCAGATCAACACTACTATTAAACACACTACCCTTTTCTTCTTTTAGAGATTTAAAATACCCTGGAAATTATTTTTTGGCTTTCAAAATTGATACTTCCATACTTAACAGCGTGCACAGAAAATGGAGGCCATGACAAGACCAGAAAAGGACTGGCTACTTGGAGCCTGACTGGTTGCAAGATGTCAAATTTTGCTACTCTGGAGATATAATACCACAACATAGTATTAGATCCTTTTTTATTTTATTTGCACCGTAAAAAACAAGTGCTAGAAACACCACAGTTAATCCACAGGTATGCAAACCTGTGCAAACATCTTAGGATTTTCTCAGTGTTTATCCCCCGTATGTTAGAAGCGAAGAGGCTTCCAGGAAGAAAAAAAGCCTGACAAAAGAATGAATACCTTGATAATAATAAATTACAATAAATGAGGAAAACCTACCCCTCAATTACAGCACTAATCACAGAGCTAGGTATGTTTACTCACAGAAAACAGAAGAGTAATTACTCTGGGCCAGAATACTCCCTAGTCAGATTCCCACCGAAGACACCAATGGACATTAATAAGCCTGATGCTGTAATGATCCTTACTCGGGGAAAACTCCTATTGACTTACACTGTCTGAGTAAGATGAACAGAAATAGGCATTAGCTGCAAAGCTCACAAGGCTTTTTAACAGCTGTGCACCGGTTTAGGCCCCATGGGATAAGAAAATATTAAATGAAAAAATGCTGAGCTTAAAACCTTTGTTTATTCCTTACCTGATCCTGAGAAATTGTCTAAAGACCCGTCTGTGGCAGTAGTAGTAGCAATCTCACTGCTGCTCATTGGTTCTGTTTTAACTATAGAAATATAAATAAAATATATTCTATATGCACCTAATATTCTTGCACACGCATGCACACACAGGCATTACAGCCACAAATTCAACAAAACAAAAATCTGCCAAAAATATTTGAAATCATGGCTATCAATGTTTTGCATTTTATGTATTTGTGTATACAAACAATGCAAAGTACTGGCAGCTATGATTTATACATACATATAAAGTGATCAAGAGGGTTATTTCTGTCCCCAAGGAATAAGAGCCACTGTAACAAACCAGAAGTCCCCATGCAATTCTCTGCACCTGCCCTGATTCCTCTTAATCCTGCAGACCCAACAATAAGGGTCTACATTTAGATCAGGTCACACAGACATTTACAGTCTTGAAAGACAGCAATTTGAACAAGACAAAAAAGGAAATATTTTTAAATGGGTTTTTCTGAGGTCTACTCAATTTTTTTTTTTTTCATCCAAATAACTTTTCAAAGGAAAAATGAGAATTTGTGATGAAGTAAAATATTTTTCTCATGGTGGATTTCTCCCCTCAAAATGAAAACCAATCCGACTTTATATTCAGCAAGCCTGAATAAACAAAGGGGACACAGTCCTCACTAGATACTCCAAAGAATGCTTTTTACATTTTATTCCCTCCCAACATGGCTGTCAGAGAGTAAAAAACAATGATAGTAAGAAAGATTCTCTCCTGGCTCAGGCTGCTTCATAATTAATTATTCATAACTTTTAATGAAGCTTCAAGTAAATAAATGAATCTCCCTTTCTGATACTCCTGTGCAATCCCAGCAACAACAGAATTCCAATCCATGGAGCAAGGATGGGGCTAACCTGGCAAACAGGCACAACAGCTACCCTCTGCAAGTTACCAGCTCAGCATGGCAATCTCTCAAATGCATTTTTACACACATCGCTTTTGGAGTTACAGCACACCAAAAGCGACCCAGGAGGATGTTTCAGAAAACAACGGAGCTGATCTTAGTACCAACGTGCCACTGCTTTTGCTTTTGTTGACACACACAGTCACCACTTCCCACGCACCAGCGCTGGTGCATACCTGACCTTTCAGCAAGGCAGTTCAATCAGACTGCAAAAGGTGAATCCAAGAAAACCCAGGCAAAGTGCACCCTACTTGATGTGTAAAGATGTCATCTTGACTTGGGTGTGCCTGTATATATGTGCTCAGGAATTGTGGCCATCAGTAGCAGAAACTCTTCTAGGGCCAGGTTTGCAAAGGGTGAGGGAAAGGCACTTTGCCCTTACGACAAAGGACCGTACTTTTCCTTGCCAATCCAAATTCTTATTTCCACATACCTCACTATTTCTTTCACTTGATTTCACCCACAGGATTTACATGCAATCTGTAAAGATTTTAATATTTGGCCACTACTGTCTTTTGATTTTCACACAGGACGCACATGCTAGCTTGGGAGATCAAAACTAGCTCCACACAAATCTCTGCCATATTTGCATTAGCAAGCAGTGCAGCCCAGTAAGAAAAATTTCATTGAGTGAAATGGTTGGTGCATAGGGTCCACAATTTAGGTATTTGGGGCAGTGGTTATTCATGCTAGGTTTAGTCTTGTCCCAAGGAGGGAGTGCCCATTAGAGGCTGGAGAACATTAACTGTACTCTTGCAGAGCAAGCACCTTTTTTTGAAAGAACTGAAGGAGGTGAACTGATATGTGGTAAGAAAGGGTGGCCAAGAGGTTCACTTCAAGAGTGCACTCATGACCTGAACTATAAGTCTAATGCATATTATTTCTTAAAAACACAACTTATAACATATCCAGTATGAATTTTATAACTAAATGCTTAAACTCTCTAACACACAGATGTAACAAAATATTTGTTGCAAAGTGTCTATCCAAAGTAATTTTCCAGAAACTGTCAGATTTTTACGGCACGTTCTACAGTTTGTTAATCTAGATACCAAGAATTACAGCATCTTCATTCTGCTTTTTCTTAAAAGTTTATCACAAACTAGATTTTACAGTTGGACTAATGTTTCCTTCAAAAATTGCTCCAGCTTTCCCCAAAACTTGCAAGTGTTCCCATACCTAATTTCTGTAATGCAATTATACTTTTGGTAATAACAGTGAAAGATAATTTTCTCTGTAACTGACTGCTGTGTGGGAGGAAAAGAGAGGAAGATGAGGCAGATCAACCTAGCTTGGGGTAAAGAGTGCAAGATTTCAGTATATGCTTTCTGCAAACTCTTCCCTCTTCTCTAATGAAGAAACAATTTTTCTATATTCCTTACAAAATAATGTGACATTGCTTGGATCACCACAAACTAGCAGCCCAAGGACCATAGTGAATTATATAGAGACCTACAGCATCATTTGCTTTAGATAAAGATTTTTAGGATAATTTCTTTCTAAGTGGATGTAAATGCCTTCCTTGCTGTTGGTTTAAAAGCCTTCTTCATGTGCACTGATCTGTATCTCAGATCCTTGTTAAAGATACCATTTGGGGAAAAGCCTCATCAAAACAGAATTTTTGTCTGTATGATCATGAGCACTAGTTCAGTGCAACAATGTTTGTATCTGAATGCTGTTTACTGAGCATTCTACTTTTGAAGATACAGGAAAACATATACAAAATATACTGCAGCAACTTTTTCATGGAAATTATTTCTAATTGATGAAAGAGGTGCTTACAAGTTTTTCATAACAACTGTTCCATATGTCTCCCCTTTCAGCTGTTGTATTTCCTGCCTATATGAAAAAATGGGATAAGAAAGGCTTTTCCCTGATTGTGATACCCATTAGTAAGGTGATAACAAATAAGCCCCATCATGACATCTTTAAGAACAACTGTGACCTTAACAGATCTTTGAGCCACAGCTAGTTGTGAATTTAATAAAGATGGATAGGAATTGAAAAGCCCCCCATTACCCAAGTATTTTAATCAAAATGCCAGGAATGACTGGGAATTACTTTCATTCAAGGGAATGAAAGCTTGCTGTATGAAGAAAAAAAAGAGAAGAAACAGCCATGGTTTCACCAGTTGGAAATATTCACCAAGTGAAGGTCACTACTTGGGAAGGTCTCTCATTTGCCCAAGGCAAAAACTGACCTGCAATGGGACATATTTCCCCCCAGAATGAAGGAAAAAAAAGATTCAGAAGGGATTTCCTAAGCCTACAACTCTGCCACTCTATCACAGTAGGACATCAGTAATCCATGTCTATCTTGAGAGATGTATGGAGCTGTCCAAGGAAGCAAGGCTGTGGAAGGGCACAGACCTGGCCCTGAGCCCTGCTCCTTAACCATGCTCTGGATTTCAGGTCCTCACATTTTCTGTGGCAATTAACATGTCTGCAATGTATCCTTTCACAGGAGGATGCTGGGCAACCAGAGGGAATATCACCACCTATACAACATGGTGCAAGCTTGCCGGTAACCTCCAACAGCCTGCTCAGTTGTGGCAGAAACCACAGAGAGCGAAACAGGAGAGTTCCCATTTCTGCTGCTCCTTTGTCAAAATAGACCTTTACAGAAGTGCAGAATTATCAGACTTGCATTATAGAGGCAGACTCTGATTTAGCAATAGGCTACTACATTTTAGTGCCAGCAAAATCACTCATGTAATAAAACAGATTATCAACAAATTGTTCAGGAGGAAACTTGATGTATTCCTAATCTGCTGCCAAAACTCAACGATTATTTAGAATTACTGATATTGATTTCATTTATATACCAAGGAATTTGAGAAGCTACATCAACGGAGAGACATTTTTCTTCCTTATTTTAGTTTTCTAATTGATGAGATTCTAAAGACAATATTAAAACAACAACAACAACAAAAAAAAACCTGCATAAGAAAACAACACAATAGAAAAAAATACCAGTAGCAGATACTAACATGCATACTAGCCCTAAGGGAAAAAAAAAAGTACAAAAATTCTGAGATAGTTTAACTGTTAATCTAATGTACCACTGATTGTCAAGATATTTATTCTTAAGACACTCAGATGCTCTAAGTGCAGTATGCCCTCTTTGGTCAGGCATATTACAAAAGGTGGTTAAAAATTACTTATGTGGCAGTGCCTGAACTCCACTAAGAGACAGAACTTCAGACCAGAACCCACAAGTTCATGTGGTTCGTTGGCCAAGTAACAAGTTTCTGAGTTCACAGCTTGTCACACAGTCACTGGCAACAGTAAAGACTGCTAAGAGGAATGAGATGTTGTCCTTTTAAAATATGGATTCAGAAACCTAACATTTAGCCACACAAAAATAATATTAAAACATAAAGACTGCACCTTCAAGCAAGCAAAAAGAAAAGCTTTAAAATTACTTTGCAGATCTAGAATACATATAAGGCTTGCTCTACTGAACTAGTCTTCGTTAACAGCTAAGCCATATACATTAAACCAGAAAAGAAATATTGTAAACATGGCTAACTTAATAAATCAGTTTTAATTTTATAATTTTAAGACAGAATTGATGTTAATAATGTTATATTATTTGTATTATGTGAGTAAGTGGGCAAAATGAAGTAATTCCTGGCTGACAGTTCACAGTGTTCATGGGGCACAGAGAGTATCAACAAAGCAAGCAAGGCTGTTAGTTAGTTTATAGATGTAAATACAATCTCTAGCCCTATTTTTGTTTGTCTCAAGGTGACATCTTCAAACAAGGTTAGCAGCTAAACACCAGGCAGATATCTTAATAATTTAATGTATCCATTACTATCCATACACTATTTTACTTGGTACCATCCTTTTTCTGTTCCCACTAGAAGCCCAAAGCTCACCTAAAAGCTCAAAGATACTTGTAACTAACAGGAGAAAAATTCTACTTTGATTCTCCAAGATGATTATGTTTTCCGTTATTTTATTCAGTGTCTCCTCTGTTTGTCAAGAAAAATCTTTAAATTATAAACAGCTTACTAAAGGTTACAGGTTACTTATAAATAAGTTACTCAATCATATTAATTGCTATCCAGGACATTATTCTCTTTTTTTATCACAGACTATGCAATCATCAGCTCCTGA